GCTTTGCTTTGCTTTGCTTTGCTTTGCTTTGCTTTGCTTTGCTTTGCCTTGCTTTGCTTTGTCCTGTCCTGTCCTGTCCTGTCCTGTCCTATGCTATTGCTGAGCACTTTGTCTATTTACAGGCAGTTCTCGAGTTGTGACCACAACTGAGCCCCAAATTTTAAAGTCCGCTTTGACATCAACAGGCAATTAAGCTGAAAATAAAACAAAATGTGAAAGGGATAATAAAGATTCCTGGACACTAAAAAATTTTTTCCATAAGCAGGAAGGGAGAGAAAAAGAATAAGGGCAGGATCTGGAAGAGGGAGGAGACTGCCTGGAATTAAAAAGAATCTACAGTAAAACTTCAACAAGATTTCTAAAAGATACATTTTAACTGAAACTTTGTAACTAAACAGTAACCCCAGGAAGAGAAAGTGAAAAAAAAGAGCAAAAAGAAACAGCTTGTGTGTATTTGGATTATTTGGTGATCTTTGGATTCTTGGTTATTATATTTGAATGATTAAAATTAATCGGGTGGTTGTTTAAAAATTTATACAATGGCACCACTTCTGGATGAATTGAAAATGGAACTTAAAAAGTACAAAGAAGATGCACAAGAAGGGAAGGGTTCTTTTGGCTTCGTCTTTCAATTCTTAGAAATGGAGATTTGGAACTATGAGAAACAACAAGAAAAGACTGCAAAACAAGAAGACTAGGACAAAGAAGAAGCCATCTTTAATGAACAAGTAATTCTATGTGGGGAAGAAAAAGGAAAGGGGGGAAAGAGAATGGAGAATTTAAGACTTAAAAAAACAACCAAAGAAAAGAAAAATAATTCAAAAAATAAGTATAATACTGGGAAGCAACAGAAAAGGGGAATACAGAAGAGAGAAATAGAGGTAGAGAGACAAGGGGGTAAAAAGGGGAGAGAGAAGAAGAGAGGGAAGAAGGAAAGGAAAAGAAGTTACAAAGGACCGGAACAAGATATAGAGAAACAGGACCAATTTAGAGATAATGGGTGAAAATCTAACTGAAAAAGGGATTCTGTAAAGGTATATGATTGTATTGTTATATTAGTAATAGAAATAACTTTAGAGAATTGGAAACAATGTATAATTAAAATGAGGGATAAAATAGTGTAATTTAGTGAAATATTTGTTAATAAAATAAGTGAAATAAAATAAATGAGAAAATTGAATTAGGAAGGAACGGGAACATTTTAACTAGTTAATGTTTTATAAAATATAACTGAAGAGGGGGGGAATGAATTATGGAAAGCTTATAATTGTTCCCATAGAAGTATGATATTTAATTGAAAAGTAATGTTAAAGAAGTTAAGATTTTAATGAATATTAATATTAATGATAGAATTGAATTGGAATGGAATGTGTTGTTTTAATTACATACATTTATAATTTTTTCTTTTTTTAAGAATATAGTGTGTATTTTAAGAATGTACCAAGCAGAATCCGAATGGAAGTTATGTATTATATTGAATGTTATAACCTTAGGGTATATATTGAAGCCTAAATAAGAGTTAAATGGATAAACTTAAAAGATATAAAGGCGTCATACTCCAGTCAGTAACTACAGGAGAAATTTTGTTTAATGAGAAAAGATAATACATCATTGAAAAAAGACAGACAAAAAATATAAATATAATGATTTGAATTGAGATGAGATAATTAAAATAAAATTGAGAAAATTAAAAGAGGGGAGAAGCTATGCAGAAAATGTAAAACAGTAATAAGATATGGAATAGAACATAAAAATGAGCATGAAGTTGAATTTGTGTCTGTACAAAGAAATGTAACCCCGGGATTACGCTACTTTAAAAAAAGATGTTTTATTTGTATTATTTTTTCTTTGTGAAAACTCAAATAAAATTTACAAAAAAAAAAAAAAGATGCTATATTTCCTAAGAATGCTCAGGAAGATAAATCTATCTCAGTATCTACTTCTGTCCTACTACCGCAGCACCGTTGAGAGTGGCCTGACATACGGCATTCTTGCATGGTATGGGAGCAGCCCTCTAGCAGACAAAAAAGCTCTACAGAGAATAATTAAAACTGCCCAGAACATAATTGGGCTCCAGCTACCAGCCCTGGATGACATCTTCTCATCTCGCTGTTTGAGAAAGTTGCACAACATTCTCAGAAACTCTTCCCATCCTGCTTACAATCTTTGTGAACTGTTGTCTTCTGGCAGAAGATACAGAACAATTAAAACTTGGACCGTACATTTTCCGAAC